TAGAGGTTCTCCCCGTGGACCGACCCGTGATGAGATCCTACGCCTGGGCCCATAACATTTTGGTATCAGAGCAAGGTGTCATGGGTGATCTGGAGCAGCTGCCGTCCAGGGTCCACGAACTCGAGCACCAGCTCATGGAGACCAGCTCAGAAGTATGTGAGATCAAGGACGAAGTTAGGGAGCTGCGGCATCTAATGGAGTTATTCCTTTCTAGCAAAGAGAGGAACACAGAAGGGGTGACAGCCACTAGCCGCCGCTGACCAGATCTGTCAGAGTCTTCCGGCGAACAACAGTTCGTCAACCAGGGGGCCGCAGTCATCCCCAAGTACAGCAGGTTGGAATTCTCGTTGTACAACGACAACGGAGATCCCTTGGGTTGGCTGTACCGGTGCGAGCAGTTTTTTCAAAATCAACGGACAGACGACCGGGATAAGGTAAGCCTAGCCGCCTTTCACCTAACAGAGGAAGCGCAACTCTGGTTCTATCGATTAGAACAGGAAGAACCCGGGCTCAGTTGGACCCAGTTCAAGTCCTACTGCCTTCTTAGATTTGGGCCCCCACTAACAAGCAACCCCTTAGGCGAGCTGATTAACCTTAAACAAACCAGCACAGTGGCAGAATACCAGCGCCAGTTCCAGACCCTCCTTGTGAGGGCATCTTCAGTGCGACCGGACCAACAGGTAGACATGTTCACCGCTGGGTTAGCAGAACCCCTACGGGTGGACGTGGAAATGCAGAATCCCCCCAACCTAGTTACAACCATGAATATAGCTTGCGCCTTCAAATGCAAACTACAACTCAGCCGCAGAACCTTTAGTATGGGGCGGCCTCCATCAGCATGGACATCCCCGGAACCACTCGCAATGGCTCCATATTCAGCAGCCAGCCAAGAACGGAAGCCACATACGAGCAACAATTCCAGATCAGCATCCAGTGTGGGGAGCAGCGTCGTTGCACCCCTTATTAAGCACTTGTCCAGGGCTGAGATGGCAGAATGCAGGGCGAGGGGGCAATGTTTTAATTGCGATGAACTCTACTCAGTAGGGCACAAATGCAAGAGATTTTTTTGCCTCCTGGTGAAACAAGAGGAATGATGTGGCATTCCTTTGACGGGGCGAGGGGGCAAAGTCATTCCACCTATCTGGCATTCCTTTGACGGTGTTTCCCGACACCCATCCTGAATTTGAGCTTGAGGACAAGCTCGTAGTCCAAGAGGGGAGTAATGATGTGGACGCGTATTGGGAGCAGCAACAACAATGATCCGGTGTTCTCATCCTATCCAATTCGGTAGCAACAGTCTTATCCATTCAGCATATTAGATTAGACTATCTTGTTATTCTTATCTTATTAAGTTAGTAGATTAGATTATCTTATCTTATTA